GAGGAGAAGCCTACTTCACAACTACAGCTACAAATTCAGTTGGAGTAGCAACATTAATAAACAAAAAATGTATTCCTAACCCTGAAATCATAAACTGTGATATCGACAAAGACGGGAGATTCATCATCATGGACTGCCTCTTAAAAGGCAAACTCATTACACTGGTAAATGTTTACGGCCACAACCATGACGACAGCAATCTATTTCAAAATATTAAAGAAAAACTAAGAGACAAAAATGAAAACTCAATCATTATTGGAGGAGATTTCAATGTCCCATTAGATATATCAAAGGACAAAGAAGGTGGAAGACAAGCTTCACATATCAAAACAAGGGCGCTTATTACAAATATGATAGAGGAACACGACCTATGCGATGTATGGCGACAAAAACATCCACATAGTAGAAAATACACTTGGAACAATCACGACAACACAATTAAATGTAGACTAGACTATTTTCTAGTAACTAGAGACATCTACCAACAAACAAAGAATACAGAGATTCTAAGTGAAACGATGGTGAAAAGGAAAATTGCTGACCATAGACCAGTAAAACTTGAACTCAAATTATTAAACCAGAGGAGGGGACCGGGCATCTGGAAACTGAACAACACATTACTCAAAGACAAAGAATATGTAGAAAGCATAAAAGTAATAATCAACAATGTAAAGCAGAACAATGAAAACCTCAACCCAAATAGTTTATGGGAATTAATCAAATTTAACATTAAAATGGAGACAAGACGCTACGCAACAGAGAAAAAGAGGAAGAAAAAACAAGAACTAGATATTAAAATTGGCCAAGTAATTATGATTGAACATCAGGAAAACAATAAATCACTCGCCGATCCAGAAAGACAGAAGTTAACAGACAGAGCTGAAAAAATAAGGAACGAAATAGACTTAATGCAAGAAGAGAAGGCTAAAAGCGCTATCTTTAGAAGTAAATGTCAATGGGTAGATGAAGGAGAAAAGCCAACAAGATACTTCCTAAATCTTGAAAAACACAATTACATAAACAAAACCATGACAGCCATTGAAGATGAAGAAGGCGTCCTAATAACAGACCAAAAACAAATAAGTGAAGAACAAGCAAAGTTTTACAGTGAATTATATAAAACAAGAATTGTAGAAACAACTAAATTTGATAAAGACTTTTTCCCAAAAGGAGAAAACCTGGAACTAAACAAAGATGAAAAACAAAATTGTGAAGGGCATATAACAGCAGACGAATGCAGAAAACAAATTTCAAACCTCAAGAACAACAAAACCCCAGGAAGCGATGGACTCTCCAGTGAATTTTATAAAACATTTGTAGATGACATCATAGACCCAATGTGTGCAAGCTTCAACTACTCAAAAAATAACAAAGACATGACGATAGAACAAAAAAGAGGAATAATTACTCTAATACCCAAAAAAGGTAAAGATCCAAACAAAATAAAGAACTGGAGACCCATAACCCTACTTAACAACGACTACAAAATAATGACAAAGGCCATAGCAGAACGCATTAAAAAAGTTCTTTACAAACTTATCAACGTAGACCAGACAGGATTTATATCAAATAGATACATAGGTGAAAACATAAGACTATCACTAGATGTAATGGAACACTTGACTCAACAAGGAAAGAATGGCATTATGGCAACTATCGACTTCCAAAAGGCATTCGACTCATTGGAGTGGAAATTCATCTATAAAACCTTGAAGTATTTTAATTTTGGCACAGACTTAATAGCCTGGGTTGAAACTTTCTACAATGGAATAAACAGCACTATAATAAACAATGGCTTCACATCCAGGTACTTCAACCTTGAAAGAGGTGTACGACAAGGCTGCCCATTGAGTCCTTACATATTCATCCTATGTGCAGAAGTTCTTAGCAATGCTACACGGAAGACAGACAAAATAAAAGGTATCAATCTAACAGAAAACGAAGAACTCAGAATCTCGCAATATGCAGATGATACCTGCTTGTTCCTTAAAGACGCCTCATATTTAGAAAATGCACTAGATCTTTTTAATAAATTTGAGATGATATCAGGACTTAAAATCAATAAAGAAAAGACAACAGTAGTAACCATTGGAAAAGACAACCAGATAAACAAACAAAAGACACAGAGAATATGCACAAATATTGGAGTGAATCTAGAAGAAAAGGAGATTAACCTCCTAGGCTTAACAATACCGATAGATGGAAGAAACATAGAAGAAATCAACTATAGCAAACCAATCAGGACTATACTAAGATTAGCACAAATATGGAAGCAAAGAAATCTATCCCTGATGGGTAAAATCGTGGTTATAAAGTCACTACTTTTATCACAGTTAACATATCCAATGTCAGTGTTAAAAGCACCAACAGCTGAAATGACCAAAGAACTAGAAAGAATACTATTTGATTTTATATGGGACGGAAAACCGGACAAAATTGCAAGAAAAACATTAAGAGGGGGAATACCTTATGGAGGTCTTGAAATGACGCATATTCCATCACTTGCTAATAAATTAAAACTCAAGTGGATTAAAAAATTAACGGACGACAACATAAAAAGTAAGTGGAAAATACTCTGGCAACAGCAGTTTGAAGATATCAGAGAACATGCATGGGAATACAACCTCAGAGAAATCAATCCGATGATTGCCAGCAACATCAAACTTACAGCAGCAAGGGACGTATACAATGCATGGTGTGCAATACATTATAAGGAGTACAAGGACATCCATACACCCGAAAACCAGATAATTTGGAACAATAGACATGTACAAAATAGAAGAGAGACCTTATATATAGAGGGGTGGAAATCCAAAGGGATAATATATATCAAACAGTTGTATGAGGACAATCAATTAATCCCGTACCAAGCACTGAAAAGGAAATTTGATTTAATAAACACAACATTCATTCAATGGTACCACATCATACACAGCATACCAGCTGAATGGAGAAACCAAATAAAAACACCGAGAAGGCCAGAGACAGAAACTGATGTGAAAGAAAAATCCATTTCTATAAAGGAACTACAAACAATGACGAATAAGGATACATATAACATACTAATAAAAAGCCACACTGAAGAACCAATAAAACAACAACAACTATGGGGAAAGGCGATAGACAACACAAATATAAACTGGAAAAGCAACTACTGTAGAATATACATAACAACAAAGGAAACAAAACTGAGATATTTCCAATATAGAATATTACTTCGAACAATATTTTTCAACAAAATGCTACACAATATGAAAATCAAAACAAGCCCACAATGTGAATTGTGTAAAGAAGACAAACAGGATACCATCGAACATGGACTATACGAATGTATAGCTGTCAAACCATTCATAGAGACGGTCACCCAACTGTGTCAAATACAAAACCTGACAAGAGCAAAATACTTCCTAGGAGAGAACACCAGTTTGGAAGAAAACCTGACGCTACTCTTGGTTAAACACTACATCTATCTCAACAAATTAGACAATAAACCACCAAATATGACAGGCCTCAAGAAATATGTTGAAGCCCAGGAAATCATAAGCAGAAGCAATGCAGAGAAGAATAACAAGTTAGAAGCCCATGACAAAGCATGGAAAACTGCTCAAAAGATATTCAAGCAGTAAATAAAAACATTGTAGATCCCTTTACAACATATAGTAAACAGCATCAAAATAGGATAGGAAAGCACACCCCTTGCATTGGTTTTACATACACTTTATTCTTACTCATTCTTTTATCAATCAACAATCAACAACAATTGCAATTTTATTCAACATTCATTTAGTCAACATACATTTACAACATAACTATAAGTGTATTTTTTTGTCTACGTAAATTTTATTTATATTATTAATTGCATTACATTTACATGTACATATTTATATTAACATTTACATGTACATATATAAGAATGAAGGAATAAAAAAAAAAAAAAAAAAAAAAAAAAAAAAAAAAAGATCATATGACAATTAATTTAACTTTAAAAAAAAAAAAAAAAAAAAAAAAAAAAAAAAAAGATGCAAAAATAATTTGTATAGATAGTGTACCTTGAACACCATTTTTTATGAATGCTGGGGACGCAGTATTAAAAGGATAATTTCAAAATATATAGGTCTGGGAAAGGTTTAAGGCACACTGCGTCGCTATAGAATGAATTGCGCTACTATTTTCACAATTGTATTGATATTTGGTGTCAAATACACATATCTTGGTATATTTGAAGTCCCAAAACGGCTTAGTTTCAGAAATATCCCAAATTTAAATTCAAAAATGACCGTTAGCTCCGCACCCTCCGCTCATTTGCTCCGCACCCAATATTTCCCACAGGCTCTGTCTGCATAGGGTGAATAACCACACGACAGAAAATAAGGATAACAAACTGAGTTCACACTCAGTCTGTTGGATACTAATCAATAATGAGGTAAGAAATATGTGCATAGCTGGTGCAGATATTTGGACTTGTGAAATATAACATGTGGTTCTATTGTATACACACCGATAACGTGGGTATTTCCATGAACATGTGCCTTTAACACTAATTTGTAAATTCTGCAAACTGATTGCCTATTTCAATGGTAGGAGCAACTTATAACCTTTATATTGTTTCTCAAGGGGGGATTTTGCGTGTTTCGGGGGGTATGGATGCAATTTTCCAGGGGAGAGGGGTATGGATGCAAATTTCTGGGGGGGGGTATGGATGCAAATTTCCGGGGGGGGGTGGTATGAATGCAATTTTCTGGGGGGGGGGGTAGCAAGAAAAAAAATTCTGGGGGGGGGTGTCTCAGCCTGTGCATCCATACCCCCCGTACATTTTTTAAATGGAATGGCCCAATCGAATATTCGAATTTTTTAGGAAACTTGAAAGGAGTCGTTCTCAACAATGGAGTACTTCTATTTTCATATAATCGTATTAAAATAATAATATAATATTTAAGCAATTAAAAGGAGTCATATTATTCGTCTAAATTGACCCTTATTCGTACTAGTTTACATTTTACCTGAATATTTGTTTCTTTCCTCTTTCATTTTCTGTACAAAAACAGCTGTTCATCGTTATATCGGTTTAGCGAAATGGAGATCGTGCCGAGGGAAGTAGTACAGTCAAACTTGTCTAATCCGAACACCATTGGCGGATTGGGACAAGCCATGGGCTTTCAACTAGAGTTGAAAGCCCATGGACAGGCTAAAGACGTTAAAATTAGGAGGTTTTTCTTCCTCCTAGATATGATTTGAATAAGGCAATATTCAAATAAACTATCAAAATAAATTGGTACGTGTACACGGGGGCGGAACTGGGAACCAACAAGGGGGCCAAAACTTAGGTCTGAGAAAAAACTTCCCACTTTTTGGGGCCTTAAAGGCCTTTTTCAGCTCAAAAATTTTTTTTCGGCCCAATTTTTTTCTAGGCCCACCCAGTGTATCATTGGAAATATTATAAACGTACAATTAGTGAAATTCTGACTACTTCACACATAGTCCCCTCCATACAATTCCGATATTTTCGACATTCTTAAGCTAGAGTTGCAACGTTTTTTACAAGACCTGATCATGATGGTTTTCCTTGTCAGTCTCTACAGTACACTGGTCAGTAGCAAGCGAAGGTAACGGCCGTAACCTTTACACAAATCAAGAAACGCGTATACCGCTACCAGTATAACTATGCTGCATGTTAAATCCCTATCTAGGCCCATTAAGCTGTCAACGCAAACATTAATGTGGTCTCATATTCCAGCAAGTTGCTGAAGTTGCTTCTCAAAGCAGAATTAGGGTTTTGGTAGAACTCAGATCTGTGTTACTGTACACAGGGAAATATATTTCATTTCTCATCTTTTAGGTTTTTGAGATAATAATGTTATTTATCTTATTTCCCTTAGTCTTTTGACAAATTATAAATAAATAGAATGCATACTGTTAAAAAATCATTGTTAGATTATTTAAAAGGATGAGATTTTGTTGATTTATTTCTGAAAGATTTAGCTAATATAAAGAGTTTACAGTAATAGAAGAAACCAAACTGCTTTTAAGAGAATACGTTACACTTTACATTTTAAATGTAGCAAACTTAATCATTTAATAAAACTATTTATCGAATCCATCTAAAGCCTTGGATCTATCAGTAATTTTAATGTAGAGTACTGTGAAAGAATGCTGCTATCTCAAATATTTCCAACCGTTTTTTAAATCTATTTTGAGTGACAAATATTTCAGTAGATTGATTTCAATAGGGGTTGATTAGAATATACGGGATAGATATCTTTGCAAACTTTTGTTGTGATCTTCATATCCTTTTCGGTTGCAATTTTTTTGTCATATTTAGACATTTTACAAGTACTGTACATAGAGTGTGAGTTTACTATAGGATCAGTATTATAGTACCCCACACAAGTTTTTGATAATAACTTTGACCCATGATTTGAACATTCTCCCCTATAAGTCTACAATTTAAATTAAATCTAGCCATATGCTACACATATTACCATCGTTACATTGTTTCAATGAATATGATGTTAAAATTGTAGTACATTTATGACCTGGACAACTAGATATCAAGAGCAAGTATATTTCATAAATAAAGCTTTGTTGATAGACAAAGCTTATAGCTGTCTATATGCAGACTACCAATAGACTATTCAAAAAGACCATAAAGACTTACTTTAACAATTCTTAATTTTGATTTTATGACATCAAATTTGTTAAAAAGGATTAATGACATCCTTGGTTCAGTTGCTTTTTTGTTGTTATTGAAGTAAAAAAAAAACATATTTCCAATGTGGAAATTGCCTCTAGTTCATGTGTGCTAAATTCAATAACAAATAGTAGATCTCGAGTGTTCAAATCACGGGTTAAAGTTATTATCGAAAACTTGTGTGGGGTACTAGTGACTAGAAAATGTAGCATTATACACAGCTTTACATTCAATTAACACAAGACGTTTCTATGTTTATCCATTAGACATTTTAGCAGTTAAGTATTCATGTTTATGCCTTATCAATGTTAAGTAGCTACACTCTTCCAAGACACCTACTGCAGAGGTATCAGATGGCAAACAAACTGGCTTAATCACTGATGATATGGAAATTCTATACGGCTACTGTAGCGGTATACGCTGCCATAGGAGATTTCTTGATTTGATCAAAGATGACGGATGTTAAGTGTCGATCGACTAGATATTTTTAGTTGCTGGAATTACACCATGCGTTTTAACATGGGCTTTCAACTAGGCGCCTAAGGTTTTAACCTGTTCTGAAAAATGGATGTAATCACGATTGCGGTTTTACAAAAGCGCTTTTCCAAAACTCCTACGACCTTAGTCACTAAAAAACGCCTTAGTGTAGTGAAATACCGATCGATTTTTGTAAAACGCCTTACCCGGGTAATAACACGCCCGGTGATCGTACAAAATGGATGGAGGAGGGATTAGGCGATTTCTGCAAGAAAACTTAACTTTGGAAGATGCCAAATGAATAGGCGCAGTGCATCGCAAAATATGTTAGGTCATCTAGTATTTTTTGAACTGATACCCTTCTAAGATATGAGATCTTTTAAAAAAGGCGCATCATCACTAACGTGCAAAAGTCAATGTTTTTGCTATAAATTGGGTAACAATGGTCTGCACGACTTTAGTAGTAAATAAGTATAAGGGACGTTATTATCACAATACTAATGACATTGCTCACTTCTTAAAATTAGTTTGCATGTGTTATAGAAAAAATAATCGAAATAAATTAATATTGGATGGAGGGGGGAGTGGATGGAAGGGGGATTTATATGTCTTTACGATGGAACAAATTCACAATAACTCGCGTATTTGAAAAAACTAAACTCAGCACCCCAGTAAGAAACTGGATATTATATCTCTTGAGAATGAAAAAAGGGAAAATTTGTAGTCATAAGAATAAATTCAAGTAGCATGTCTTATCGTCTCTAACATACACGTGATCCCCCCCCCCCCTCCATCTAACTTTTAAAAGTGAGCAATGTCATTAGTATTGTGAATCGTGATAATAACGTCCCTTATACCTATTTATTACAGGCCGTGTAGACCATTGTTACCCGATTTATAGCAAAAACATTGACTTTTGCACGTTGGTGATGATGCGCCTTTTTTAATAGATCTCATATCTTAGAAGGGTTTTAGTTCAAAAAAAAAACTAGATGACCTAACATATTTTGCGATGCATTGCGCCTATTCATTTGGTATCTTCAAAATTTGTTAAGTTTTCTTGCAGAAATCGCCTAATCCCCCTCCATCCATTTTGTACGATGGACCTGAGGGACCGTAGGGACCGAAGGTAGATGTGCATATCTCACGAGGGATGAACCCAATATCCAAACCGACCGTACATAACTACTTTATCCTATACAAAGTAGAGTTTTCTAATTTTCTTTCAATTTTTTTTAATTCTTTTTTATTTTTTCAATTTTTTCACATTTTTCTAATTTTTTCAAGTTTTTTCACATTTTTTCTTTTTTTCAATTTTTTCTTATTTTTTCAATTTTTTCGAAGCGGGAAGATATGCCCTGGGGCGGGAGATATGGAGGTTCAGGATATGTAAACCTCAAAATCAGGATTATCTCCCTAAAATTCTACTTGGCATAGGATAAAGGTAAATACTCCATATTAAGATATTTAGGTGCTCAGCTTTGGAATGATCTGCCAAATCTTTTAAACACATGAAAATTCATTAATTTATTCTAAATAGAATTTTACAAACATATATTATGTACATCTTATCAATCATAACCGATTTTATTCTCTTTTGACTGAGTAAAGACTTAACAATGTTTTTCTTATTTCCATTTAACTCACAGAGTACAAATTAAGTTTTTTCAAACTGATACACTTATCAAATGTCTTGTGTTATACATTGTTAGCAATGTATGAACTTTTAAATTTAAAGAATAATTATAGTGTGATGTTCCCCTAGAATGATACAGTGTACGTTCACATGAAGCTCATTCTTTCAGCGGGTCCTCCTCTTGTTTTCAGCGGGGCCACTGTAACACCTTTGAATAAAACATGTTAGCGCGGTGTGGCCTTGATACTAAATGGCCCTGGGTGGAGTACGAGACCCAGTGTGTAATTTCTGGGGTCAGCACTAGATGGCTCTGCATCCTCGGGTTGAACTATTGTGAATTTCTGTAGTATGTTGGCGAGGAACAGAAACATCCTCATTCTTGCAAACTGTTCACCTGCACAAACTCTACGACCAGCGCCAAATGGGAAAGTTCTGAAAATTATAAAATTATAATGCCTTTTACATTTTTTATCTTCTAATGATGCCCTTTTTATCTTATTCCAAAGCAGAATATTCATCAAAAACGGAATTTTCCAAATAGGTTACTGCATTAATTTCCTCATACTTATTTCTCTCTTTAATAGACACCAGTTGACCAGAATCATCCAGCCATCTCTTAGGTTTGTAACTCCAAGGTTCATCAAATATCTCCTCGTCGTCATGCAATGCAAATAGGTTTATCCAAACCTAAAACACAAAACTGTTGCATCACTCGGATTTTGAACGCATTCATGACAAAAAAGTAATTATCAAACAAACTGTATCATAGCTAGCCAACAAACCAATACATTTGAAATTACTTTTTAATTCAAGAATCAGGAAAGAACCCAAAAACGTATATTGTTTCAGAGAAGCAGTCATTGACTGACGATTTGACATTCAAAGAAATGACTATATGCCAGGAGTCAAATCAAATAACTAGTGGCAACACCACGGTGATCAATGATTTCGAAGCCACAACCTATGCACCACTACTCGACCCATCTGTTGAGAAAACAGACGATTCCAGATATTGAGCATGTTAAGTAGCGTCCCAGGCCCGTAAGACACTTTTCTCCAAGGGGGGTGCGGTTTTTGGCTTACTAAAGAGAATATAAAATTGTCAATTTTTTTGCCGCGTAAATCAAATCGCGTAAGTCAGATGGGGGGGGGCTCAGTTACTCTCTATATTGTTTTGGAATTAACAAATGCAACTTCCAAACGTTCCAATTGTTTTGTGGGGGTCGT